TCCAGGCCGGCGCGGTCCTTGTCGCTGGTCAGGCAGCCGGCGTCGGCGCGCAGGTCGGGGCCGGAGGAGGCTCGGGAGGCCGCGTCCAGTCGCAGCACGTCTTCGTATGTGGGAGGTAATCCCTGCGACGGGAGCACCGGTCCCGTCAGCGGGGTACACAGGGTTAAACAATGTCACATTGCCGCCATAAATCCGCCAACACTCGGCATAGCGGACCCACCATCCCGAGATTGCCGGAGCCGCACCGAAGACCGCTGACATGTGCTAGTGATTGAAATATCGACTTACACCCGGGCACAGGCAAGTACATCATCATTTGAGCACAGTCATGCACTCACAGGGTTTCGTTAGCGGACCGCCGGACGATGGCTCGTCCCGCGGCGGCACAGCAGTCGCGCTCTGACGCCTCCGGGGAGGACCATCATCAGCCCCTTCCTCCGCCTCATCGGCCGGGCGCCCCACTCACCAGGACGGCGCTGGCGCTCGGCGGCGGCGGCCGGGGCGGCGGCGTCTTCTTGGGCCGGTCTCCGCGACGCGCCAGCTCGGGCTGGCCGGGCGACCACGAGGCGCGGGCCGGCCGGGACGGCGCCGGGCCCGGCCGCTCCACCACCTCCAGAACGGGCTTCCTGTGCGGACCGCCACGGTGGTCAGGGCGGCGCGGGCCACCGACATACCCGTTACCCGTGCACGTGTTCAGAGCACGCAGGGCAGTCAGAGCGGCGCGGGTCACCGGCACGCCCGCTACCCGTGATTGTGATCCGAATACACAGGGTCGTCACAGCGGCGTGGGTCACTGGTGCGCCCGCTACCCGTGCACGTGTTCGGAGCACGCGTGGTTGACAGAGCGGGGCGACCCACGGGCGCGCCCGCTACCCGTGCACATGCTCAGAGCACGCATGGTCGACAGAGCAGGGCGAACCACGGACGCGCCCGCTACCCGTGCACGTGCTCAGAGCGTCAGCCCAAAGGTCCATGACTATTAACAAGGTGTCGATGGCCATCGCTCCACTGCCCGTCAAACACGGGTCACCAGATGATCAAGGGCCAACGGGCTGTGGCACGGCCCACACGCTGAGAAAACAGAGCCTGAAGATCGCAGCCTCCAGGAAACGGCATAACGGCCCCCACACAGTACCCGACAAAGGTCACGGAAGACACGCATAACAACCAATCAGATGACCAGCCACACTAATCTGGCACAACAGTGGCACGAACCAAGGTCAAAGGACGCACGTAGTGTAGCATGTCATGCTGTTTCATGCAGTTTACGGACGTGAAAAATTCCCATGTCCCGAATGTGGTTGATATACACAACAGCATGCCGAGCGGACCAATAAGGACGTGCCGTGCAGGCCGATAAGGACGCGCCGTGCTGATAGCCCGCGCCGTTTCTAGCTGGCGCGCCGCGTGACGTATCGCCAGATAAGACTGCAGGCGGGGAGGGGCACATGGCCCTCGTGTAGGATAACGCATCGGGCTTCAATAAGTGCGCATAACCGGTGACGTAGACACCACACTGAGTCACGCCATGAATGCCATCAGCTAGTGCTTTTCGTGACAAGCGGCAGTTTACCAATCAAAAAAGATGCTCAAAACGTGCCCAAAAAACAAAAGCTGTGCCTGACACAGCGTTGCTTCAGCTCATTGCTCATATGATTTCAAGGGCGCTCTCCACATCGCATTCACGCACTACAAACACTATCTCTGCACGATCCCATCACGCGCAGCGTTACCTCAGTCCACCCTTCCACACCAACTTGCGCCTGCCATACTTGAACGCCTTGGTCTTGCGGAACCTGTCCTCGAAGTCAGAGGGCGGCACGCGAGGCAGACTGATGAGCGGCCGCAACTTGGCGCTGCTCCAGACCACGCCGTCCGGCTGGTCGCCGTTCTCCCTGCGCTGTCGCTCTCTCTCCAGCGTCGGCTCCGGCTGCGGTGCCGGCCTGCAGTCCGGCAGCAGGTGCGGCTGCCACAGCGTGGCGACGCTCACTGGCCGGCCGCCGGCTGCCTGCAGGTCGCTTTTCGCCCTGCGGCCGTGTCGCCGCCTCGCTGCGTCCGCCGCCGGTCGCCGCTCCACCTGGAGGTCCGAGCGGCCGACCGCCGCCGGCGGCGCCGATGACCCGGGCCACGCACATCCTCTCAGAGAAACGGTGCGCGGCCGCGGATCGTATTCGGCCGAGTAGGGCGGTGGCGGCTCCGCATAGGCCGGCAGCGCGGACACCGGCCGCGGCCGGGACGCCATGGCTCGCGCAGCGCGGGCAGCTCGGGCAGCTCGGGCAGCTCGCGCAGCTCGGGCAGTTCGGGCAGCGCGAACAGTGCGGACAACTCGGGCGGCGCGAACAGCGCGGACAGCGCGGACGGCACGGGCAGCGCGGCACGGCCGACGCGGCCACTGAGCGCCGGGTGGAATCAAGCGCCGGCGCCAGCAGCAGTTGACACAGACCGATAGCGGTGCCGATAGCCGGGCGGCGCGGATGCAGAATGACCGGCGATACGGACTTGAGTCGTGGGGCTATATCGGCTCGGCCCTCGTCACTGTAGACCTTCCGGTCTTACATGGAGAACCAAGCTAGTGAGGCCGACAAACAAGTGTGCAAAGAAGTGTTGATTTCCCGTGATAACTGAGCGCACAACAAGACGGCACTGTACTTCGCCATCAGCTAACACGACACCAGGGCAGACGTCGTAAATCCGACAGGTAACAATGGAGCGCAGCCAGCACCCACACCCCATGTTCAGCCCAGACTGTGGCAGGCTGGCTACAGCTGCTCCAGGCGCAAGCCCACCTGAGTACGACATCCGGGGACGTCGCGGGAGCGCCTCCGGTGCGCCGACCGGCCGGGGGCGGCGGCGCCCTCCGCACGGGCACGTGGTGCACAGCTGTCCGCTGCAAGAGACCTGCTGTTAGCATAGACCCTCCGCATGGACATGTGGTGCACAGCTGTCTGCTGCAACAGACCTGCGGTTAGCAGAGACCCTCTGCATGGGTATGTGGTGCACAGCTGTTTGCTGTAACAGGCCTGCTGTTAGCAGAGACCCTCTGCATGGGTATGTGGTGCACAGCTGTCTGCTGCAACAGACCTGCAGTTAGTAGAGACCCTCTGCATGGGCATGTGGTGCACAGCTGTCTGCTGCAACAGACCTGTGGTTAGCAGAGGCCCTCTGCATAGGTATGTGGTGCACAGCTGTTTGCTGCAACAGACCTGCTGTTAGCAGAGATAGCATGTCTCTGACAGTCTCCAGATGCTCCAGCACAGCCTGCTCAGGGCTAAGATGATGAATGGACCCATGGACTCTCAGTTATGCACCTAGTTGAGAGCAGAGCCCAATACTGCTTATATATCATATTTGAAGCACCTGTAGGATGTTGACTACCATTAAACAGCATCATGGGTACTAGAACTTGTCCAAAGAAAGGGGCAGGAGTACTCTTTGTTGCTTTTCTTCCAGAAGCTAGGCATTTGGTGAACACTGGCTGCTCAGCCATTGCCTTGAAATTGCCATCATTATTATGCATTTGATCATGAATTTAGAACTCACTGGCACAGCATTCCAAAATTACTTATGTTTACCACTCCTATGGCCTGGTGTGCATCTTCTGAACAAAGGGTTACAAACATCAAAATAATTCTAGTAATATTCACTTTTAACTATGACCTTGGCACACCTCCATTGGTGAGCTAGGACAACCACACCGACAAAACAGTGACAAAAATAAAGGAATTTGCCAAGCCATATCAAAGCTTTGGAGTCCTAGCCTTCAGTTATTTGCTATCAACAAGCTCACATCCAAAATCATGGTGTGAGGGTTAGTACAACAACCAGAGGGTCAGTGGGGTCCGGTCTCCAGTGGCCTCTGAGCAAGCTGGACCAACATTCTTGGACTTAAGTAGACAGTGTTGGCTGAAAAGATCACCCTTGCACCAAAACAGACACGGATCCCAGTAGCATTTAAGGCGTGGTCACCTCTGTGGGGCTAATCTCACGAGGGAGATCAATAGCTCCACCCGCTCAAGGCTTGAGCGGATGAGCATTGAATACTGTAACAGAACTTATTCAATGCAGGTGAAAAAACTGTTTACGACTAATCCTCCGGCAAAAGTTGAAATATGGAGAAGTACTGCTCTCCCTTACCATGACTCGTCGGCGGCGAACACTGCAATCACTGCAAGGCCTGTAATAAATTGCAATGTTTGCGCCGTTATATGTCGCTCCCGCGGTACTCCAAGCCGCACGGTTGGTGGTCGAAATTGACCCGCAAATTGAAAGTATTGTTATCTGGCACCACTAACTGAACGTTGGAACTAAACTCCTGCCTGGTTCTTTGACACGCTGGGGTTTACATTACTGTACTATCATCGCTTGTTCTGTGTGCATTCGAGATGGGTTCAAAGCGGGCCAGTTTCTTTTTAAAATCCGAAAAGCTCGAAATTTCCACGCAACGTTGTCAGCTCGTGCCATGATTCACAGTCGCCTCGCACGTCTCCACCCCCCTCCAATATCCCGCTCAAACCGTGCAGCATTTAAGCTAAAAGCCTAAGTCAAAAGCTTATGTTCCCAGATGTGTTTAACGGCACGCGTTTAATTTAACCGAAATCATCTTATAACACTCCGGACAGTCAACCAAAAATTGAAAAATGACCGCAGCACGTCGGCGATTGCGGCCACGCCGTCACACGGACACCCTCTTCTCACGACCGTTATGCGACCGTAGATGCCTTGAGAACGATATCACAAGCGCATGGCAGGCGGCTTAACCAACTAGTAGGGGCAACCAAGATGTACGCTACTTGTTGACCTCGCCACGAGTAATCAAAGCGGATTGCTCGACCGTTCCTGTCGTTTGCATCACTTTCCAGTGAGCTGAAGCCTATTTCAGAGCATGATCTGCAAATGGCTGCCCCAGTTCAACCACACCTCATGTACAGCACGCGTAAAGCGCCGCTTCATGACAACTGCACACACCCAGCCAATATGGGTCTTCACTCGTCACCAACCCCTCAGCATGGCAACAATGAGTGTATTAAAAATGAACGCGATGTTCAGTAACAGTGGATTTGCAGCGTAAGAACCAAACTACCGTGTTAAAACAACTGTGCAGCAGCATTAGCAGATCCACGGATGTAAATTCGACGCCACGCAGGAATGTCCTCACTTCGGATGATGTCGTGTGCGGGTTCGAATACGGGGCAGCCTCATCTGCTGAACCCTAACCCGGCTCTCAAGCCGCCATCGCAGGCCGTGAGCGGCCCAGGCGCGTTCCTAGCCAGAACACGGTGGCCCTCGCTGCGGCCGGCCACCCGCGCCACAATCGTCGTCACGACGGCCCCGACGCGTCGACGCCGCCGGAGCGGCCCGGCTAGTCCGAGTCCGAGTCGTCCTGGTCACGGCCGCGGATCGTCTTCTTCTTCTGCGTGACGCGAGACTTGCGGTCGGCGGGGTCCGGCGGCGTCAGCAAGTCGCCGCTGTAGTCGATGACGCCCGCCTGGGGGCGCGGCACCAGTGACGTCACACGGGCAGGCTCTGACACGCGAGCGCGTGACCACCACTGGAGCCCGCGCCATATATCTTATGTGCACGGAAAGCCAGTACTGATAGCAGTAGTAATTGGGGCTTTAGAGCGCTTCGGGTACACAGCCATATAGCACCTGCACAATAAGCCAAAAAATATACAGCCATTTCTGTGTTGGTTGAATTGCTTTAGGGCTGTTTATGTAAAACATGAGTTCCTTTCGACTTCCTCCAGCATAAAAGTGCGACACTTTCGGGTTGTTCATTTGTAAATAATCATTGCAGTGAGCTGTGCCTCAGTAAGAATCGTCATCATACCTCAATCACCAAAACATACTTGGCTACGTCCATGCACACTTGGACCACCATACAGCTGGATGGGTCTGAACAAGGCTATGCCGACTTTGCTGTACAAATACACGATCTTTTCCAGCAAGGGAACAACAATCCAACAAAAGAACGTCACATTCGAGTAACGAATAAGTGACAAATATCAGTACAAATGGTATGACAGAGGATCCATTAAGCCCTGCTGTTTATTATAAAGGCGAGAAAGGCCTTGCGTTCCTGGCATTTCGACATTTTCGATGAGTTGGAGGGTCTTGTTCTGAGAATAATCTACCTTTACTGTGCCAGGAGGCAAGAAGTTCTAACAAAACGTCGTTATCAGGCAGGCATGGCTTAGATGGACAATATAGTAAATGACCATATAGCCAGTGCTTGCCTGATAGCATTTAACCAAAACCTCCCAGCATAATGCAAGGTCGCTCGTTGTCAGAACCCCAAACTTCCTGATTCTATCCCCATCCCTGCGCACATTTAATGCGTTTCAGAACTCCAAGCGCGCCAAAGTACGAGCCAAAAATGCCTGCATGCTTGAATTAGCCATACCTGCGCTATCCTCCACTCCAAAAGATCCGTTGAGAACTCGTCGTTGTTGCCGAGATCAGCAAAGCCCACGATGAAATCCTTGGTCTTGGCGTCCTTGACCAACGCGATGGTAGGCAAAACCTTGATCTTCAGTCGCTCTGAAGCATATGCACATTATGTCAGAATGAACAGCCCTGGCTAATTGTGCAATGATGCACATGACGTCTGGTTGCGACGATGGTTCCAATGTTGCCAGGCAACATGGCCCCGCAGCAGAGCAAAAATTAAAATTCGATACAAACTAAAACAATTTTTTCGACTCACAACTCTCACTGTCAGCAAAGAAGCAAAATATCATATATTACAACATTCAAATTCATGTTGCACTTACGTGTAAGGAAAGGACACTTCTCGGCATTTATTTTTACAAACTTGGTTTCCATATGTTTCTTGGCTAAGCTATTCAAGTGCTTGTCAACAATTTTGCATCTGAAGAAGTCGTCCCGGTAGAAATGACACACAACGTTTTCAGATTTCTTCGGGACTTCGAAGAAGTCTTTCTCCTCTGGGATTTCGGTATATTGTCCATGCCCCTGTCGCAGCGTTTAAAGCGAGGCACATAAATTCAATACCAGGCACATGAAGCGAACAATCAATCGCAAACATAAGACCTTGACGAGGTAAGTCGCAAACTTCATACTAACGGCTACAAAACAAAACAAACCCTGCATGCAATATACAATGGAAACAGAGAGTGCGACGTTTAAGTTGCACCAACAGATAACATTGCAAAATTTATGTTACGTACCTCCATTTTCGCCGGCCCACAATATTTCGATACATGCGACAGGTCAGGTGACAACCCGTTTCAAGGTAGCACGCTCTGGCTAAACCTCGCCGACTTCACAAATATCAGACAAACAAAAAACATAAATCTAAGCAGGGAACACCAGCAGGTACATAGTGGGTAATCTGTGATGCGCAGTATAACAAATATGTCCGCAGCAGCAGTTCCGTTGAATAATTAGTGTCAGTCACCAGCTACCTCCCAGCGCCATATATTTCCACGATTTTACAGCAACATCATATGACAGCATTCCATGAACAGCATCATGATCATGAACTTTGTTAAGTTAAAACCACAACATGCAGCATTAATGCAACATTACAAAGTACAGTACTTCTATTGTAATATTATTGATGGCATTAATTATATAGACAGCATTTCTCTGATGACTGGTATGATGGCATCAATCTCTAATAGCCTTCATGCTGGCACTGCCACAATTGTTAACACAACTGTCAGTAAAACAGGCATGTGGTGAAAACCTCTACAAACTTCTGCGGCACAAGTGCGTAGAGCACCACAGCTATTAGGAGGGTGAGCATTTTCCATAATTTCATCTTAAAAATTCTTGAGAACATGGGCGTAGCATGGTGACATACCACAGTAAGACGTCCAAGTTCTCAAAACATAAACTTGAATGACTGCCAGCCTTAATAACACACACACTCCATCAAACAATAGTCAGGGCACCCCAGGGTTCGGCAGTGCAGCTGATCCCCCACCTAGCCATAACTGTTCCCCTGGCCGATCCGCCGGCCGACGGTCGTCACCTGTGCGTGCCATTCGTGACGCTTCTCCTTCATGCGCTTCATCTCCTGGATGCGCTGGCGGCGGATGGTCTCCAGGTCGTCGGTGTCCAGCCGATCCAGCCGGCTGATCTCGTCGTCCAGCTGCTGCTCCAGCTGCTGCGCCGCTGACACCAGCTGCGCCTGCATGGCTGTCTCCATCTCTGGCACTGGTGGCATGGGGAGCTCACTCCAGACAGCGCATAGGGTTGAAAGGGTCCAAAATGATCTTATGGTGAGGACCCCACATGATTTGCAATTGAGTAACCCACAAAGTTGTGAGGATGACTTGTTCAAAGCAATCAGCTTGCAGTGTTTTGCTGTATTTTTTCATGTTTTCATTTCAATCAACATTGCTGTATTTTTCGACAACGATTAACAAGATATGGCTTATCCTTGAGTCTTGACTGACTGAACTGGGGAATGGCCAGGGCTGTCAGGATGAACACGAATGGCCATGTCCGGGATGGAATGCCCAAGTTAAGGCAGCTCAGATGACCCACAAAAAGACAGACAATCCCATGCAAAGCTACAACAGCTTAGGACTTAAAGCACAGTATGCTGCGCATGCATAAATCTAAACTAAACCCAACTACTTTGGATTAACGCGCGCCCAGGTGGACGGCTACATACCCTTCACTCGGGTGGAGGGGGCCAATTTGCCTCCCCCTGCCTCTGAGATATTGGGAACTAAGAAAGCTAGAGACACCAAGTTGTACAAGGTGTGTTGACCTGTACATGAACTCACTTCGGTCAAAATTTGAGGCTCCTAGGTCATGACCCTCCGGCCGAAAAAGGTCAAATAAGGTCAAATTTCAGGTTGGTTGCAAGTGCCCCAGTACCTAGATTACTGTTTCTAAGCAAAAGGTCACAAGCTAGTTTAAGGTCGGTGACCTTGTTTGACCTTCTGAAGGTCATAATGACCAAATTAATAGAAGACTGCTCTGAGCTTTGCATTTGAATAAGCAAAAAGGTTATGCCAGGCAGTATGTTCCTAAAACAAAATGTTGACCCCGGTAATCTTAGTTCAATGACATATTCTGACCTCTGAAAAGTCAATGGAAGATGTATAATGCAGTTTCTGCTATCAATAAATTTGGAATGAACACCAGAAACTATCCCATGCAGCAATCCCTAGAGTAATAAAAACAGATTGGTTTTGACCTTGGTATGACCTCACACCTGACCCTGGGTCAACCGATTTGCTCATTCAATACTTGTATTGCCTAAGAAAGCATCTCAGAGATGCATGGCTGTGTCACCCACTCTATTGTTGCATCAGATTGAACGATTCTCTAGAAATTACCTTTGCTGAAACCATGGCTTGACTTTGGCCTGCCATATGCCAGTGACCTTACAAGGTACATCCAAATTTTTCATATCAAACAATTCTCTATTCAATTGTCTACAACTATGCAAAATGTGACATGGCTGCACCACGCTGTTTGGCAGCCATTCTGGAAAAAACCTTTGGAGGGGTCAATTTGACCCCTGCAAAGGTGCGTGTTAATAGACAAACAGGAGAATGCATCGTTAAGTAATATAACCCCAAATACATTTCAAAATATTACATATGAAAAACCAATAAGTACACTAGATGTGTGGCTGTATGGCTGATGTATGTATGTAAGTACACTAGATGCATCTCAGAGATGTATGGCTGCATCACCCACTCCATTGTTGCATCAGACTGAATGATTCTCTAGAAATTACCTTTGCTGAAACCATGGCTTGACTTTGACCTGCCATATGCCAGTAACCTTACCAGGTACATCTACATTTTTCATATCACACAATTCCCTATTCAATTATCTACAACTATGCAAATTGTGGCATGGCTACACCATGCTGTTTGGCAACCATTCTGGAAAAACCTTTGGAGGGGTCAATTTGACCCCTCCAAAAGTGCATGTTAATAGATAAACAGGAGAATGCATCATTAAGTAATATAACCCCAAACAATTCAAAACATCATATATAAAAAACCAATAAGTACACTAGATATCCCTTTATTTAGACCCAAAGGTGCTAGCAACTTGGTACATATAAACAGCAAACTCTGCTCTTTCATGCATACAGACAGGCCCAGTGACCTATATTTGTTGGTCAATCAGCAAGTAAAGCAGTTACTCCTGGCAACCATTCATGATACATATTGATTAAGTTTGAAAAAGGGGCTGAGTTAATGTTCAGTCAAAGTCAAAATAATGTACACCTGCATTATCATCATTACTGGTGCAGTGTTTAGTATTGCTGATATAGGCCTTGAATTCCCTAAAACAGACTGGGACAACTAAATCTATGATGCAAATAATGCATTGCTTGTATCAATAGATCTACCAGACAATTATGAATACCTCTAACACTGTCATTATGCTCTATATGCTATGTAATGACAGTGAATTACGGCTCCTCTCACATTTGCCACCCACCCAGTTCCCGTCCACTGATGAATGAATTTGCTGTATAGGTGGCAGATGCTAATGCAAAGAAAGTAAAGGTTGCAATACTTCCAGCTGATTTCATAAATACATGTCCATAATTCACTGCCAGCCTGGTGATGCTGCATGAACAGCCTGGCCCCCCCCCCCCCAAGTCCATTGCAGCATCTGGACAAAGTGCCAATACCATAATGGTCAACCACTGTGAGTTCGGGAAACTGGAGATGTAGGGTTTGAATCCCTGCAGTGAATGACCTTCCTTCTGCATTGGGAGGCAGGTGATGCCTTACAGCCTCAGCAGCTGATTGCTGCAAGACATCTGGGGTGCTTTCCATTACATGTGCAGCACCTGCAGCCCCTATCTGATCACACAGATAGTGGACAGTGACTGAAAAGAAAACATGGCCAGACAGAACCAGACAAAACCAGATTGGATCAGAAAAAATTAGAACATCTTGAAGAAAGACAGGGCTGATGTATGAGATACATCAAGCTATACAAAGGTGCTTGAAATATTTTAATTTTTTTGTGAATCTGCTGATACCAAAACCATAAAAGCATTGTGTTACCTCTAGTTAACCAGTTTATTTAGATGGTGCCAGGCCCACATGAGCAATGCTTGGTGTTCAGATGTAACCATCTTACAAGGTATATGCATTTTCATCAGAATTTATACAAATATCATGTTTATCCAACACATTTAAACTTATATCAACCTGGTGTTTACTGCCTATAACAAAAATGAAGAGGGAAGTGCTGCCTTGGAGTAAATCATGTACCAGGTGAGTGGCCTTGGATGAGTCATCAGTGAGCGCTCCACAGTCCTAAGGCCTGGCGATGACACACAAATTTATGAGAGACGTCGAGCACATCTCTCCCAATTTTCACAAGACTTTGGTGCTAGCCCTTCGTATTTTCAAGCAGAAAACCGACATAAAAAACCTATGACCCTCTTATTTTAAAGACCTTTCTGCCCTTTTCAACCTCCCAACGCATGTGCTCCCGCATGCATTTGCAGTAGCTGGTAGCATTTTTTGACAAAGACCTTAGCGCGATTATTGCAAATGCATGAAATATACCTTTCCTCTAAAGCCTCACCTCCTCTGCAAGCCTGAAACCCGGATGGCAAAGATCGCAGCCCACACACGCCCTTTTCTTCTCGCCTCTGTCTTCCACAGCCGATTGAACAACGACAAATTTGACGAGCAAGTGACAATCAATTATTCTTGGACAGTTCGGCCAGCTGCCAAAATATAGAGAATTAACCCCAATCCATGAAATGAAGTAGTGAGCGTAAGAAAACTATTAAAAACTAAAGAAAACACAAATGAGGAACATTGTTCGAGGACTGAGTGTTTACGCAAAGGTACCAAAAGTAAAAGATACAAAAATAAGAAATGAGCGGCGTACATCGGGGATTTTTACAGCAAAGTAAAGCGCCGACATTTTGGGCTACGTATTTTGCATCATCAAAGAAAAATGTGACTGGAGCATAGCAGCGTGAGCAGCGGAGGGGGGACAAAGCGGCACGCCCTCCCCTTACGTTCTGAGGGCCCCTCGGAACCTTACATTGAGGGCCCGATTTGAGGGTACGAAGTGGGCGAAAGCTGTCCGGAGATCGCATTTAAGGGCCCGGCCCGCAGAGACGGGCACTCCAATGCCAGCCGGAGTGCCCTGCGCGCTGGTCAGGGGCTCCTGAGTCGAAAAGGGCCTGTACGTCAGTAATACAACAACAATTACACACAGTCAGCTCCGTGTTGACATGGATCTGAGGGCCCATTCCCCAAGCAGGGAAAAAGCAGGAGCCAGCGATTTACATTAGTCGGGGCCACAGCGCCTGCCAGGGCACCGCAGCGCCTAACAGGGGCCCTTTGTTGACAAGCGGGCCCGATTCGGGCAGAGGCGGTTTTCGAGGAGGCCCGAAGAGCCTGGAGAGCCTGCTGGGTTTGACGACCTAGGACCCAACTGGAGGGTCCAAGAGCGAAAGGGGTTGGTTTGAGTCTTATTTAGCGGCCCGGCCTGCAGGGATGGGCCCTTAAATAAAAGTCAGATGGCCCTTTGCGCCGATCAGAGACCTGCTGAATCCACATGGGTCTGTACATCGGTCAGGCACCCCCAGTACCGCGCAGTCGCCGCCGGGTTCAGCGACCAAGCCGGGCCATTAACTTGCACTGGTCGGGGCCCCGCGTCTGTCAGAGGCGGACGGTGCCGAACGCAGGGTCCTGCGTTCGTAGAGGTCCCCAAGCCGACCGACGGCAGCATTCGATGAGGCTCGAAGAAGGGCCTGAGAGGTCCACCGGAGCCTACGATCAAGGGTTTGGTTGCAAGGCATAAGGGCCCGAAGAACTGGCTGTAGGTCAGATAGAGACTCGTGGTCCGTAGGCTCGTGATCTGAAAAATCGGTTGGAGGTTCTCTTTCACCATTTCAGGACCTCCTGACACAATGCAGGTGTCAAAGTCGGCCAGAGGCCACGAACACCAAGCCTTTGGCCCCCCGTCAGTCGCGACCCTGGTGTCCCATTTCCCATGCAGAAGCAAGGCCGGGGGCTACGATCTGCATTGGTATGGGTTCCTGAAACAATGGTTGCCGCTCCTGTGTTCGTCAGGGGCCCGCAGTACCTAAAAAAGGCAATCTGTCGGCTAGTGGCCTCGGGTTGGTTACAGGACTTGTTTAAGACGTCTGGATAGGGGCCGAAAGGTCTCTCGAGACCAAAGAGCAGGGGTCCGATTGAAAGGCTATATGGCCCGAAGGCTGGCTGCACGTTACGTAAGGGCCGGAAGGACGGAGGGACGGTCAAAAGGCCCCCGTCCGTAGGGTTGTGATGTCAAATGTCAGTTAGAGGGCCTCTTGCACTGATTTGACACCCCTGAGACAGCGTGTTGCTCTAATTCGGCCAGATATCACCAACATCAAACAGTCGGCTCCTGATCGGTTCTCAACTCTAGGGGCCCATTTCCCAAGCAAGAACAAGGCCGGGCCCGTGAGTTGCATTCATCGGGGCCCCTGCGACAATGGGTGGTCTCCTGCATCGGTCAGGGTCCCAGTACATCAGAGGGTGTTCAGTGTCAACAAGGCGTCCCAAGTCGGTCAGGGGAGTATCTGCTCAATAGGGACGGGGACGGCACTCCAAAAGACAGAGGTTAGAGGGCCTCTGAGGTGCTCTAGCCAGCAGAGCTACTGGGACGTAACTGTAGTTACACCACGTAGTTAAACCAAGCCTAAGTGGGACGTTATACCGTCCAAAAATCCTTCTCTCTGGTTGGGCTTCAATTACGCCCACCAAAACGGTGATTTTCCTCCATTTCTCCATAAATGCGCTAATTACGTCTTGCTTAGGCCGACGGAGATAAGCAAGATGCTAGCTGAGGAAAATCGATGGAATCATGTTTGAAAGTTTACATAAGTGAAATGTCAGTCAAATACCATTGACGTTGTTGGGACCTTTCCAGTTCCCCGGGCTTTCTGGCCGTTTAGGCTTAATTTATTTAACACAAGACAGCGTTGGGTGATATATTCTGTAATGGTCTTATTTCGCACTCCTCGTCGGGTCTGAATTACCATGGTTAGGAGACGGAGATTGAATAAGCATGTGTGAACAGTGCCATTAATATCTTAATGATGGAAGGAATGGGAGAAACGGTGTAGAATGGCGGAAACGGAATACAAAAAGATGATATGTAGGCATTCTCTAGAATAGGTGGGTAAGAAACCGGCTTCCATTTTTAGAACATGAGCATTTCAAATATCTTTCGGCAGCAGGTGCCAGAAACCAAAAGATAGACACTCACTTAGAAGCCTGCATTACCTATAGGGTAGCGAGTTTCAAAATGGTAGCAACGAGCTGGCAAGTGACGTGGCGAAACCGCGACCCCGCTCTAAGCCGAACATATGCGCCATGCCCTTGAATGCATTTCTGACTTCGCCATCGTTCACGTGATATGACACAAAATGTAATTTGGAGGCTCTAAAAACAGCCGGGTTCATATACCCTTTGAATGATTCAATGGGTTTTAAAGATCGCTCTTGATCGACGTGGAGAAATGTAATGAATTTAGAATAGAAATGAACTGAATGTTGAAATGCTCAGGCTAAGTACACAAAATCACATTCCTCAATGCGTTACGTCAGGCCATCGTGTGCTTTCATATAAATCGAATGGTATCATACAATCACCACGCAAATCCTGCAGTCCGTGCATACATTGAAATTAATATAGTTCTTAGTCACAGTCGACAACATAGAAACTGCAAATAGTCACTACTCAAAGGCAATTCGCACACGCCAAAAGAACCAACACATGACTTGCATGCCTTCGGCAGCTTCTGTGGGGGTGGACGGAGTCGCCAGTGAGCGATACCTCCCACGCGCTTTAATTCACACTGCGCAGTTCTCGACTAGTAACGGTCATATTCGTGTACGTGTTTTTCATAGACGCTGTCTTTTTGATTGCATTCTTGAGCGTTTTTTCACCACATTATTTATAGCATTTTGCATTCTTTACAATGCTTTGCAGCGTACAGTATTGCGCTCATGCACATTAGACGTCGTCGCATAAGATCGCAGTGCAGGGATGATAACTCTGCTGGCATTGCACCGCATCACGTATATTTTATCAATATCTGCAGTTTATTCACGAAAGCATTGACTAAACGAAGCAACACATGCTTATTTCTTTTTAAATTATATAGGTAACGTTCGCTCAAATGCACAATCACCGACATTAACGGCATGACGAATGATCAGGAAAATGCAAGACGACGTCAACGTCCATTAGTGTTCAGTGCTGCTAATACGATATCCATATAAACATAATGAATGCCATTTCAAAAGACATGCAGGTACCCTGAGAGCAACTAATCAAAACGACGTCCTCCAGTGCGCACAACCCTGTCATGAACAGATGTATACCCGTATGCAGATAGGTAAACATCATTAACAGGAATAAAAATACATGTAACTAGGAACTTAACTCATAGATCACTGTACACATATAAAGCCCTCATGAATTGATGCGTCAATTCTGACACCATATCTAGCTCGTACAGCTCATGGTGATCGTTTTCTGCCTCTGGCGTACGCGGGTGACCTGATAATGACCTTGACATCTCCGAGCGGCCGCCGCCACCGCCTCCTCCAGTCAAGGCCGTTATGATGGCCTGGAAACAAGCATCGTGTGAAGAACATGCCGTTGTTGGCCTTGCCACTCAACCAGTGAGGCAAAACACAGCAGCTCTTTGTACGGAGCACAACATATATGTCAGCAATCAGTAATATTTCAAAAGTACAAACGATTACAGATCTGCAAAATCGCAACATTTGAGATGAACCTATTCCTACTGAACCTTCTGCAGACGGCTGTCCACCCACTTTGTAATCTAAACTTCCTTTGAATGTATTCATAGGTGTCACGGGCTTTCCTGTCATGCTGGTCAAATTCTTATACGAATGTATTCAGGCGACCAGCTCATGACAGTCGATGTAATGAGCTCAGAAGCAGTTCAGCCCTGTGAAAATGCTTTTGAATTTAGGTGGTTTTGACGGTCCAACCCTGCTCGAGCCCGTCCGGCGGCCGTCACACCCTTGCAGCTTGCGATCGTAGCTCCGTGAAGCTATCAGCAACAAGGAGCGCAATTAGATTGCTAGAAATCTGAGATGCATATGATACATTGCGATTTGAGCCGCATATGCCCCTGCCTCATACGATTACCACGGGGAGCACAGCGTTTGCTTCTTAGAAAAACTGGGACTGGAGAGTCGTGTTTTAAACACTGGTGCATGGTTACTGTTCTGTGTTATCGGAAAAATACTCCGTGTGATAAAATAACAAATAATGTGTTTGATGCTTTTTGCTCACCTCCCATTGGGCCAATATGAATGACATCGACGTCCACGGCCAGTGATATAACAGTGCGAAGCTTGAGCAGAACTACATGGTGGTTGTTAGAGATTTCTTTTTGAAAGGAAACGTTGAGAAGAGGGGGAAAGGTAGGAGACCGGCAAATTCAAATGGCAAACAGGGAACATGACATGCGAATGGCATATTGACCGTGGATACTGACACACAGTCGGCAGAGTGAAAGACGGAAAGAGTGGCAATGATTTCGTAAATAGGAATTACAAAATATATGTCAAATTTGAGGATGACAGTCACATGTAAAGTAACTGCACTTTTCAATATGCATTTATTGCGTAC